ACAGCAATTAGCATTCCGGAAAAGGTTTGTTCATGTGCCTTGCCTGAGAACAAAGTGATCTATCGAACGAGCGTGCTGATAGCTCGGCGACAGAAAAGTTGCCGGCCGAGAAGACAGTGGGACGGCTGCCCTTTTTAAACTGCTTAGTCCAGCTGCAGCGAATAAAGATACCTAGATTGGAAAGCCGAAGCATCAGTTAGCATTGCGGGAAAGGTTTGTTCGTGCATCTCGCCTGAAAACGAATTCATCTATTGAACGGAAGGTTACCGACAGCACAGCGACAGAAAAGTTGTTGAGATGAGAAGACAGTCGGAGCGCTGCCATTTCTAGGATGCTTTGCCCAGAGAATCAAGATACTTCGAATGGAAAGCCGAAACATCATGTTCATGTCTCGCCTGAAACGAATTGACGTGCTATCTATTGAACGACAGTGTTCCGGTATCGGCATAGCACATCAACAGCTTCCATCGCATTCCGTCTCGCTGCAATATGGAACCACGAAATATCTGGCAAGTGTGAGGGTTTCGTGCGTCGACAAAGAAGTTCAAGAATGTTGTCTTTAATTCAAATATAAACAGCTTGCACGGTCAATAAATAGTTCAGCCAAGGTGCCTTTCCCCGCACGTGCTCGAAGCGAGTCTCCAAACCTCTAAGAAATACTTAAACGTTCGTAGAAACTTCATAACGTCGCCGTCTCTTTTACTTTGTACCCTGCCGCTCTACACTGGCTTTAATTAATTTACCACCGAAATAATTTTGGCTTCTCCCACCCGTATCCACGGGATGCCAGGTTCGTCATAACCGTGCGGTGGGAAGGAGCTTGTGCGGCTTGTCAATAGATTCGGTGTGTCGCGCTCCTGTACGCCATGCGCCATTTAGTTGCTGTGCCTGGAGTATGAAACTCGGAGCGTCAGAGTAGGGGTAAAGGAGTGTGGACTTAAAGGGGAGCTGCAATCATACTTAAGCGTCTACCCCTTTTGCGGTTTCCACGTCTCTTTGGGTTCGGGTAAGCCAGCGGGCACGGAGAGAATAACTAAATATCAGTGAGTCATATTTTAACCGGACGACGCGGAAACCTCCTCCACCTACGAGGGCGACCCGCGTTGCCGAAAGCGCGGAATATGTGACGTCTTTGGTCCTCGGCTTACTACTAGTCAGAGCCGCTAAAAGCTTTTTTTTTAGTCGATACAAAATATAAGTGTCGCGAACCGTTTCAATTATGTATGAAAGTAGTTTTTGTTCAGTATTTTAGATCAGAAAAGAAACAAATGCAGTTTATAAAGTACGGAAACAAGAAAAGACCCGTCGACAAACCCGCCACCAAGCGGTGAAAAAAACGGCGCATACAGTAAAACCTCGTTATAACAAAGTTGAAGGAGCGGTCGTAATTATTTCGTTATAACCATTAGTTTGTTATAGCCAATGTCCATTTCTTCCCACTATTAGCAAGCAAGGGGAATTATGATTGCTTTGTTATATCCCGTTTTGTTATAACGAGGTTTTACTGTACTAGAAAGGCGTAGTGGGATGAGGCTCCGACGAACAATGGGCTTAGAAAGGTCCCGGATGTACGCGGTGGCGCTGCGGTCGTATACTGGCTCGAGGATCCGACCGGTTCCGAGCGTTCCCAAGGCTTTCGGCGCGGGCTTGGCTGGCGATTTGACCCTTTGGCGGTATGGCAGCGCGAAGTGGCTCCCGTTCTGAACTGATCTTTACCCCGTGTTTACCGTCGTTTGTGGCCAATGAAGTGTTATGCTGAATTAGTCTTTAATCGCGCGGCAAATGCAATGCGAGCTGCCCTGGCCGCCCACTTCATACAGCCTAGTCAACACGTGCTTTAGTGGCACCCTCTCGAGCCGTCGACACTGAGTGCGGCAGCCGTGAGCGCTCGATGAGCTCACTACTTCACGGCCACGCAAACCAGGACCTACGACGTCATGAAGGATGCTATTTTTTGCTTGTTTTTGTAAGTCTAATTTGCCTATAACTTTTAAAATAAAGCGAAATTGGAGAAAAGTTTCTTTAAATTACTACGTTCAGTGCGCTCAGGTTCGGTCCAAATTAAAAACCAGTCCAAAAGTTATTGCAGGGCCACTTTAACGCCCCCAATGACGACAAACGAGCAAAAAACATGTCTGCAGCACGCTGCCGGCCAGCCTCTGCAACGCTCCAAAAGGTTAATTTTCCGTGTCCCAAGATGGTCGTCCGGCAGCCGCAATCACGGAGCGGGGAAGCGCAATTTAGCAATTGTTGTAGAGATCAGTAAAAAAATATGGAATGCATACCCTCCTAGCATCCATCAGGTAGGGATAAGCATTCTTTGCAGTCTATATGCCCATCAATATCAACACATGTAGCCATTTGCAGGCAGTCGCATCCTTTCGAAGATCAATCTGGCCTTCGTCAGGCACCAGCTTTCGCTCTCAGCACACAGCCACTGTTGGTGGGCTTCGAGGCTGCTCGCATCTTCACCCTCCACAGGCGGGGCAGCCCCGGTCTGTAAATGTAGAATATGAATATGGCAGGTATTATTTGATAACACTTTATGTTTTGGCCGTGTAAAGAAAATCTGCATTCCATTTTCTAACATATCTGTTATGAAATAACAAGGTCAGGTGGAACGGCTCGAGTTCGCTGACTGAAAGACAGAGGGCTTAGCCTGAACCAATTTCCTAGCAGCCTTCGATATTGGTGTGGGGGGAGAGAAGGCTGAACCTCTAAAGATGTCTTCCGCCGTGAACAGACTTGGCATCATCGTGTGTCATATATCCCCGATGATTGCCTTCCCCACTAAGATGCATTAAAGCCAAGGCTCGAGCACAAGCTCATAGCATCGCTAGATGGTCGCACTGCACGAACCCTCGTGCAGCCTGAGTATCTACTCGTACTGGTAAAAGCGAGCGAGTTGAAAATGAATACTTAAAATCGAAAGAATAAAGCGCGAGGGACAAGCCCAGGACAACCACGTAAAGCCTGGTTCAAACAGTTGCCTTTGACCGCGTTGCGGCTGCGAGAAACCAGGACATCCCTGCTGCTTATATCGCGTGCCAAGGTGATTCTTTGAATTGGAATCCACGCTTCATACGAAGCACAGATGTGCCGGTGACTCGTTTTCGGTTCTAAACGCAACGCAGACAAACACACTCAAACGCAAGTGTCGGAACCGACCTTTACGGTACAGGCTCACAGTAAAGCTGTGAGCCCGAACCGTCTTGCACGCCTAGCCTTCGCTTTAGTACATCTCAGGATGAGACGGAATGTATCATAATAGAACCGCTGTGGTCTCACCATTCTGAGCAGAAGTGCGTGAGTAACCGATGATATTTTCGTGGTCGCTTGCACGTAAACAACCAAGGAGCTTGTACACAACGCCGGCATTCATCTGGCTTGAAAACAACTTGAGCGTTGGCTTGGCTTGGATGTCAGCTGCCCATTGTGCTTACTTGAACTTCACGAAATCCTCTAAATTGAGCAGGCTGCTTCTTGACTTCTGCTGTCGGCGCTTATGTCTGCAATTCGGCGGTTTCCGAGTTCGACGATTCGGAAATCATGGGTGTACCACCGCAACACCCTCTTAACACGATTTCGGTAGCCGTAGGGTGTAGGCCTTTCCGTACACCATTGAATATTCAAAAATCATGTAAAAATGGTGTAGGAAGGGTGTGAGCTCGGAAAAACACCCTTTTAACACGAACATGGGTGTTGAAATTTTTAGTGTGTACTCCTCCGCGCGGGTTGAAAAAGCGGGAGTTTCAAAAGTGGAGAGGTTCTGACTCCAACTACAAAACGTCCTGTCACGCAAATTTCGCTAAAAATTTTTATTTCGCGGAACATTTTTTTTTGTGACATGCTTGTCCCACTTAGACTGTTTAAAAACACTTTTTTCTTTGCAGTTACCCTTTAAATTTTTTTGCCATCATTAGTTAGTTCACGTCACTGTAAACTGAGTTTAGAAAAGTACAAATTTGAGTCTTTTTTTTATTAATGCAGTGCAAGTTTGCCACATCTAGTGAATTTAGCTGAGTTCCGGTATTAATAACAAAACTAAAATGACCGCTAATTATACTGTTCTTATATATTCGTGACATGCATTTAAAGGTGATCACTTTGTTATATTGTGCGTCATTTTAGCCGTAGAAGTTCGTTGGTAAACAATTTGTGAACGTGTCTCTAAAACCTGTTTATTTGACGTGTTTCGTAACTTCTTTCTGTGGAACGGTCTTATTGTAAAGTTTACTATTCAGTGCACACATCGTAAGCCTTTCTTGAAATAAATTTAAAGAATTATTACTACGTGCATGCTTCGGTGTGAAGTTGACGCCTGTGCAATATATCATAGCGAAACCTTCCCCAGGCCTCGAGCTTCGAAATTTTACATCTCCGAAAGAAAATTAGCTACGGTGATCGCACAAACCTGAATGCGCTTAACAAGAACATATGGCTTTCAATATATACATATATACACACACATATATATATATATATATATATATATATATATATATTTTTTTTTTACGCAAACGTAACAAATATGACCCAGACCATCATTGTGCGATCTGACTTAAAAACACCCCGTAGTAAAACAAAACAAAAATTCCAGCTCGTCCCGGAACATTCTTCATTTGCCCCTATTGTGGAGAATTACGATATATGGAGACGCTTTTAAGAATCTATGTATATTATCTTATCAAGACGTGCACGTCTCAAGCACCAAAAGCGTCGCTTCTGCCTCTGACAATCAAATGTTGTAAGAATTTGTAAGAACCTTTTTTTTTCTTGAGGTTACTGCGAGTCTGGGGAGATAGAGCGCAGTCACGTGTCTCTCTCCTACACGTTAATTGGCTCACCGGGACCGTAGTCTTCGTCGTCTGCCAAGTTACCGTGAAACGTGTGTATACTCTGTCACTAAAACCGTGCAATACAGCCACGGCTAAAAGGAAGAGAGCGTATGCCATTCTGTTCAAGAGAAGGGAAAGGAGGAGCCGTAGAGGAGAGCTGGGATTCCCCCGTCCCTCCTTTCCCTCCTCTTGGCCAGGTCGGGATACACTCTCTCCATGTACTGCACGGTTTTAGTGAAACGGAGAATAGCTGGTACCCAAAACCGGCGGGAAAAAAGCGGGTACATACTCACTCCCTTCGCGCTGACTCATCTATCGACTTCCAGGTGATTCAAAGTCGGACCAAATATGAAGTCAACGACAACAACTTCGAGAAAAACGAACGAGATTATGAGGTTGGATTTACAGCAAGCGGGAGCAGTTACTGGATAGGCAAGTACAAGCATATGCATCCTAGTGTACCTGCATCTCAGAGAAGGCAACCCGCATCTGGAGCACAAAACAAGTGCGTTTAAATGGCGCTCTTGCAAATTTGAACGGTCGCGCGACAGCTTTTTGTCGCACAAGCGAACGGTTCGGGGCAGTCGCGACCGGGCCGATTTTTCGGGCCGGTCGCAGAGTCACCCGGCGGCTGAACCAGTCAGCGGGGCCTCGAACACCCGGCACTTCTGTGGGAGTTGCAACAAACATGGCCGTCCATTCGCGGCACCCTTTCTAAATCTGCTATAAGTAACGTCGGTTCGCGGTAGAGAGCATGGAGAAAGAGCCACGGAAGTCTCTACGGTGGATCTGATCAACGCTATTAGATTGTATTCATTCCTCTATACAAAGCAGCATTCCTGTCTGAACGAGCGCCCAAAATGAACCCGGTTTGACAGCAAATCCACGACTTTTGACTTCGCAGGTACGTATTTTCTACCGCAAAATCTCGCGTGAGTGAGCCCCAATGTAGCGATTGTTCTTTCATTGTACGCTTAATTCCGAAAGACTCAGGCAAATACCTCCATTTTTTTTTCTCTTGGACAAGAATTACGCACGAGGAGGTGTGCGACAACAAAAATTAGAAAACCGCGAAACAGGAACCCGACCCCATTGGAAATTTTCATTTACATTCATACAGAAAGTTTTACAAAAAGGCATTTCCTGTATACCCTTTTGTGGGAAGGCATACGGGAAGCCATTTCCTGTATACCCTTTTGTGGGAAGTCACACAGGAAATCATTTTCCGTAAACGTTTATACATGACGTCTTACAGGAAGGAACTTCCTGTTTGCTTTTTATACAGGAAGCCCTACAGGAAAGTATTTCCTATTTATTTATTTATTTATTTATTTATTTCGGGTTACCCCGCAGCGCCCGAAGGCATTATTGCAGGGGGGGGGGGTGCATAGTTGTGAGGGTAGAAATTACACACGTGCATATGCACCAAAAAAAAAAGAAATAACGCAAGCTCACAGGAAAACACACTCAATCAAAAGCAAGCTCAGAATATGATAAAAGAAACATCGGTGACTCGCATTCCAGGTACGTGCCAGATAAAAGATTCAGCTGAGGTAAATATGTGCTAACAGCGAAATTAAATAACCCACTTGCCGCATGACACAGAAATAAAAAAATAAAAAAACACACACACACACAGATGTAGTTTTATCAACTTCGTTCAAGGAATAATACCGTAATCGAAGTAGAAACAAATAAACATACAACAGTATCGCGCCCAGTAATCACTCGAAATTCACATCGCAAGGGTCAAAACATTTTCCTAGTCATGTTAGTCTGGCCAGCTGTCACGTGACAGTCTGTCAAAGAAAAGTGAGTTTGACAAGATAGAAACGGTGTCATTTGGCAGGGCGTTCCACTCTTTAATAGTGTTGGGAAAAAATGAATATTTCAAAAACGTTGGTTCGGGCTGTCCATTCCCTAATTTTTTCCGAGTGGTCTAATCTCCTAGATACGATGTTGTGGGGTTGAATAAACTTAGCTTTATTAATGCCGGTTTGAGCATGGTAAATTGCGTGAAGAAACTTCAAACGAAGACGTCTTCTTCTGAAGGAAAGCGGCTCCTACTCTAATTGCCTTTTAAGAGCGGTAGCACTTTCTCTGTAATTGTAGTTTCTTGTGACAAATCTCGCAGCCCTGCTCTGTACTTGCTCTATTTTTTTCTCCAAGTAACTCTCTTTTGGGTCCCACAGGACACTGGCGTACTCCCGTATCGGCCTAACGTTAGTCTTAAGAAGAGTTGCTTCCGCAGTTTGGGGACAGTCCATGAAATTACGTTTCAAAAAGTTTAACATGCAGTTGGCTTTGGCCGTGACGAAGTCGATGTGTGCTCTCCATGACAAGTTATGAGAAAATTTAACACCTACATACTTTACTACTTCTTCCTTCTTTAGTTGAACGCCGCCGATCGAGTACGCAAAAGTTTACTGGCTCGCGCTTCCTCGTGAACGTCATCTGAGAGCATTTGTGGATACTAAGCTTCATTCCCCACTTGTCGCACCACCGTGAAATTCTGTTAATGTCCTCTTGCAAAGCCAGGCAGTCCGATTCAGTCCTAATATTACTATATATGACACAGTCATCTGCCTAGAGGCGAATGCTTGATCCAGTTCCAACAGAAATATAATTTATACATAATAAAAACAGAAGAGGCCCTAGCACAGACCCCTGGGGGACACCCGACGTTACGTCTACGTAAGTTGATGTTTTCCCGTTGACCCGAACTGCCTGTTTTCTATTCTGTAAATAGTCTGAAATCCAGTTAAAAAGACAATCAGGTAGGCTAAGAGAGTTTACTTTTTGCAAAAATAATTTATGAGGGACCATGTCGAATGCTTTTTGGAAGTCTAAAAAGACACAATCCACCTGCAGTCCTTTATCAAAGGAATAAGCTATGTCATGGTAAAATTCAACTAGCTGAGTGTCGCAGGAAAAAACACTTCTGAATCCATGCTGATTAGGATAAAGGAAGTTGTTTATAACAAGATGTTTGAATAGATTACTGTAAATTATGTGTTCTAGTATTTTCGAGCACACACAGAGTAGGGAAATTGGCCTGTAGTTGTCTACCCTATTTTTTGGTCCGCTTTTGCGTGCTGGAACAACATATGCTCTTTTCCATTCGCTGGCCAGACAGCCAAAGGAGAGTGAGCTTTTAAATAAAACATACAAAAAACATGACAAGATTCCAGAGCATTTTTTAAGGACGCGACAAGATAGTCCATCCGGCCCGGTGACTTTGTTTTCTTTAAGATTATTTACCAGCTTAAGGATTCCATCTTGGCTTATTTAAATATCAGGCATACTCTCTCCTAAAGTAAAGGAAAATGAAGGGATGGCATCCCCAATAGGCAACGTAAATACAGACTCAAAATAACTGTTGAAGAGCATCGCCTTATCACTGTCCTTATCTACTAGTCGTCCGGATTCTTTGATGGGTCGAATGCCCGTGACGTCTCTCTTTCAGGCCTTAACGTATTTCCAGAATATCTTCAGGTTTCGCTTTAACTTTTCGTCAAGGGAGTTGTGAAACATAGTTTTAAAATAGGACATCTTTTCTTTGAAGAGTGTTGTAAGCTCCTTCAGGCGGGCCAGATTACCAGAGTTGCTATTTTGTCGGTACTTTACAAACACTCGCCGTTTTTTTTTTTTTAATGATTTAACGTTGCTCTTTGTTAATCCATGGCTTGTCGTTGCGTCTTTTGGAGTTTATAACTTTTGATGGAACAAAAGTGCGAGTAAGGGATTTTAGCTTTGTCTTAAACACATTCCAGAGGGTGTCAACATCCACATCAGAACTGAGGTTTCTAAACAAAGGAAAAAAAGAGAAAAGTTCGTCATCCATAGTCGCGTAGTTACCTTGATCGTATAGGAATATTTTCCTTGGGGGCATGCGAGCTACTGCTTTCTTTGCGCATTTTATTTGTCCGATTACCGCCTTGTGATCGCACATGCCGGGAATACCTGAGACAGAGGAGATAATAGAACTTTCATTGCTGAAAATCAAATCGAGCGTGCTATCTCTTCTAGGGTCCAAGCGCGTAGGAACCGACACGTGCTAGTGCAGCGAAAAACTAGAAGTAAAATTCATAAAGGATTCATATGGCCCGGATGAATTTGAGGTACTCGGCAACCCTTCATCCCATTGAATATCCGGAAAATTGAAATCCCCTCCCAGCACAAGATAGTCGAAAGAAATGGATGACAAGGCATTCGTTAATAGTTGGATTGATTCGTCACTAGTCGCAGGTGGTCTGTAAAAGGAGCCGATGACGAGGAATCCGAAATGGGTAGCTTTTTGTAAAACTTGTTGCAATCTTCTCCGTGTGTCGCGATAGTTGTGACTTGGTTGTTTCATGTTCGCGAAATCCTTTTTGTTCGATTGGTTGTCTTTTTATGAATGTTTCCAATGTAGTACCTGTTACGTCATACTTGATTTTTTGTGTATACCCCCCCCCCCCCCCCCCACTGTAATGCCGAAAGGCGCTGTGGGTATCAAATAAATAAATAAATAAAATAAATAAATTCCTGTATGGCTTCTTACGGGCATTCAAACAGGTAATGAATGGTGGTTCCTATAAAAGCCATTAGAAGCACAATCTTAATCTCTATAAGATAAGCTCCAGCCTATTTCCACATTTATACATACAAAGCTCCAATTCACTTCGTTTTGAGTGGGCATCCGGCACAAACAAGTTCTAAGTATAGAGCTGGTTATTAACGCTGTGGCGGACGATTCTTTTCAATGATTTGACAACATCGACGACGGACGCCTTACACCGCCCACTGCAACATCAGCTCCGACAACTGATACATCAACGACGGATGTCATTTTCACTGGTAGGAAGAGCCCATAACGGCTATCGCTGTTATGGGCCCCGTATGCCTCTGCAGGGACCTTTAGGTGGTATATGGGCCCTGTATACCTATACAATATCCTTTAGGTGGTTATGGAACGGGTATAATTATACAGGATCCCCGGTGTGGGTATGGGTTCCATGTGCCTAACCAAGATCCCGCATCAATAACATCACCCGACATTTTGGACAGGATCCCTTAATAATAATATTATACCTCTAGCAAAAATATATATATATATATGTAAAATACATTTCTATGTCCATTGAACGTCTAGGATCAAATAAGATTATATGAGAACATACAAGAACTATATGAGATGTATAAGAATAAATAATAATAATAATAGTAATAATAATAATAATAATAATATAAGATCCTTTAAAGAAACTTCTGAGAAGTTTTTTATATGGTTCTTGTATAGTACTTATATATCTTATACAGTTCTTATATGGTTCTTATATTTTTTACATATGATTTATATGGTTCTTATATGTTATTGGACACAAGGAATTTCTCATACAAATGGCTTTTTCACTAGGGAACCTCTAATACTTCTCGTATATAGCAAAACTAGACTTGCTTAGACGTCGCAGACTGCTGATGTGCTGCTGTTCTACGATGATCATCCAAATGACGGCCATTTTGCAGGCTCCAGGGCGCACTTCCAAAGGAAGTTGTGGATAGGGGAGTTGTAGTGGAGAGGGCAGTATCGACGGCGGCTCCCGAGAGCTCCCGAGGAACAACTCACGGAAGCGGCTCGCCGATCGCCTGCCGTGTGAACGTCGGTTCTCGCTTGTCACATGTCACTAGTTGGTCGCGCGACTGGCAGTCGCAGGTGTAAACGCTCATGCGGGCATTTGGACTCGTTACTCCAGCTCCTTGCTCGCCCTCTCGAGGTAGGAACGCGAAGCGCTCTAGCGATCACGCTATACTCCGTTCACCCTTAAGTAGATTCACCCGCTTGTCACTAAATGGGCGAATTTCGCTACACAAACCTGAATGCCAGGAATGCACGAGAGTGTTGATTCTTTCGGAGGTTCATTACGAAGACGTAATGATGGTCTTACGGCCCTTAGATTTTCCTGTGAAAGCGCTGTGGATTTTTAAGAAATTTCAGATATATCGCCGTTTTCACCGTTTTGAGCGCATTTTTAGGCAGCTTTAAATCAACATTACTTAGAAGAAAATACTGGCAAAACGTATGGTTGTATATACTCGAGGTTTCTCCAACCTTAGTTTTAAGACCATGGTGAGAAGACTATATACTGTACACTGTTAGCAAAAATAACACGCCCAGACGTGTAAACCGTTGTCCCATAGCGGACACGTCGGAACGTGTTCGTGTTACACGGAGCCATCTACGTTATTCGTTTACACATGAGGTGCCTTGTAAACTTAACACGCTACACCGTGTCTGCCTTCCGCAAAACACATTTCGAGCGTGTTCCTTATAAAGCATGGCGGCCAGCAGCCGAGAATAGGCGAGGGACGAGCCCAGCGAGCCGCGCGCCTTTCAGCCGAATTGAAAGCACACAGGGCGCGTTAGTTCTCGTTCGCTGTCTTCAGTAAAGTCTCCAAGCGGCGGACGTAGCTACGTGCAAAGGTACGTACGTGCGTCGTCGGCGGCGTCGGTAGCTTCAACAAAGCCGCTAGACAAAAAAAAAAAAAAAAAACGGATGCCGAACTTACATGGGTAAATAACTTGAGCAAACTATTTAGAATCGCGCGGTAAGTTGCGACACCTCTCGAGATTTCTAGCAGCCTATATTTAAAAAAGACGATTCTGTTAACACACTGCGAACGACCACGACTAGAGAGCAACCCTACATACAGGGTGAAACAAGGAGACCGGAGGCTCTTTAGATCGACCGCAAAATTCGGTTTCTTAACTTATCACGCTACGACTTTGTGCAGCGTTGCCCACAGATGGTGCATTTTTTTTTTTTTTGTAAAATTTGCAAAGAGCGAACTTACCTGAGGAAGAAGTAAAGAAAGAAAAAGGCTTAGCTCCTATGGAAACGCAGCAAAGCCACCGGTCTGCAAACAACACGGCGCCGTTTCGCACGGGACACAAGAGATGCCGCAACGAACGCTGCCAACGAACGAGTATACGGCGCCGAGAGCCAGCGTCTTTAGCAGACGATTTTTTCGACTCAAAAGCGGCGCGCGTTCCGCAGGCGGCGACAGTCGCAGAAACAAAAACAGGCGCGGTAACAACAAGGAACTGCAGTTCCTTGTCTGCTAAATACGCCGGCTCTCGGCGTCATCTGCTCGTTCGTTGGCGGCAGTTGGCGTCGCGACCTCTTGCGCCATCTCTTGTCTCCCGTGCGAAACGGCGCCGTGTTGCTTGAAGACCGGTGGCGTCGGTGCGTTTCCGTAGGAGCTAAGCCTTTTTCTTTCTTTACTTTTTCCTCACGTAAGTTTGCTCTTTGCAAACTTTACAAAAAAAAATGCACCATCTGAGGGCAACGCTGCACAAAGTCGTAGCGTGATAGGTTAAGAAACCGAATTTTGCGGTCGATTTAAAGAGCCTGCCGTCTCCTTGTTTCACCCTGTACAACCCAGGCAACACCAGTACCACGTAATACACAGCACCGACATGAACACAAACACAACAACGACACTACGCCCGACACTTCCTACTTGATATTCATTTCTCCCCGCGGCGCATATAAGCTTGACATGTGCGGGGGAGCTCTTTGCTCGCTGACCATTACAGATTTATAGAAGAACACACAAAACACGGCGAAACGGACAGCCGTGTGTTAGAACTGTTTGCATTTAGAAAGTGTGGAGACAAAATCTATAATGTTAGTCCGTTGCGACAAATAACGATATATTAACAATAAATCTTAATCGGTCATGAAAAAGTTCAAAGTTTTTTTATTTTTTTGCTTGACCAGTGTTATGAGCAGTCCGACTAGCTTGAATAAGATAGGAAAACAAATTATTGGGATTTTTTCATTACGTATACAATAATAAATGAAAATGATCCTTGCGCAAAGCATCCTTTATATATATTTGAGAAGGACATCCGCCCAACACTTCACTTCCGCTAGTAGCAGTACGGGAGCAGACGCCTTTACTTCTGGGACATTTTGATGCAGTTTGTTGCCGTATGTCGTGTCGGTGTCGAGTGGAGCGGTGGGGCCTGGGAGTTTGTGACCGGTATTATTCGTGAACACTGGTGTGGGGCGCTGATGCGTCGTTTTTTATACTGCCACCACCCCGAACTTTGAAGATACACGGGCCCGTAGCACTGCATTATTCTGAATCGCGAGCTCCTTCTCTGTTGACGTCGCTTTCCTGGTACCACTCGTGGAGACTGCAAGCGTTTAAACAGTGTGCACCGTCTTGCCTACATCCCCGGTGACGTACTCGACCTGTTGAAACTTATTGCTTCCTTCATTTTGGAGTATGAAATTTGGAAGCTTTCTAAACGACATTTTTAGAATATTTAATAACGGCATTCGTAAAGCATGCTTTGAGGCGAAAACCTTACTTGATCCATTGAGCGAAAAAGCATTGTATAAACCAATAAAAATACGATTGAGTGGCATGCGCCGCTCAACGGGCGACTTTGCTTGTTTCATTACCTTGGCGTCGTCCTTGCGGTCATCCTAGAAGTCGTCCTATACCTCTAGGACGGCCTCACCTCTCACAATGCTAGAAAAGCAAGCGGCGTAGTTGCCGTGCCCGAAAGGCGACCATAAAGTAGTCAAGTGTCCGCAGCGTCATGCCAAGCGAATAATTTTTGAAAACATGAAATCCAGATAGAATCTAGATATATTTCCACTTTCATAATCCAAATAGCGAAACGTCAAACTGGGTTTTTAGTAGAATTAGAGCTCTAAAAATTGCGAAACTTGATGTGTCTACTAAGTAACGTACGAGCATTTAATTTCAAGAATAATCTACCCGTTTAACCCATCTAATGGAACATGGCTCTCAAAATCACATCCTTTAGTGGCTGAAATTTTTTTTACCTTACAAACTACGTTTTAAGACACATTTTTCGGTAGGAGCGAAACCAACATTAACGTCTATACCGAGGCGTTGACTCCAGAACAGAAGTTAGTTTTGGTACACACGATACTAAACCGAAGACAAACGGACAAGGGGACAAACACACACGTCTAAATCTCTATGACTGACGCAAAGTGATGAGCTTTGAGACGTGCGTGTTTGCCCTTTGTCGTCCGTTCGTCTCCGGTTTAGAGTCAAGTGTAACCTTAACGAGCTCGCCTGCTTTATAAATTTGGTTTCTATTTTGCTCCTGATTTAAAAAAAAAAAATGAATCAAGGAGTCAACATTACGCTAAACATATTTGTTGTTTTGGGAAAAAAAATGTCACCTGCCTGAGTACTACTCCAGCTTCCTCGTAGAAGCGGGAATAATTCGTGTCGCTCAGTGAAGCCAGCACACCACGAGACAGTCCCAGCAACTGATACACCCATCACGTATCTCCGACCCTCACTATACCCGCTATTTTGATAAACGATTGGCGCCACCTATAAACAGCTGGCGTCGCTCGTGTCACGTGAGACCTTTGCATCACGTCACGTGGCAACGTCACGTCACATGGTAAACTTTCCCGGAAACTTTAGTGGGTCTACATGTACAGTGCGCCACGCACATCTGCGAGTGAGGTTAAATCTCCTTTTAGAATCTTCCTCAAACCAAAACAAGAAAAGACACACAAAAAACACATTTTCGCGTTAAACGAAAAACACCTGTAGTAAGAATATTAATTTTGGTCCACCCGTAAAATAAAACCAGTCAATAAAGACACTCTCAGGTGACGTAGCCTATAGGTATTTATTTGCTTTGCGATTAGCACTGATACTCACCATTCGAAACAAGCTCTCACAGGTAATGGTATTTTGCCAGCATTTCAGCTTGCTCCTGTATACAATTATAATAATAAAATACATTACCCTATGTTATTAAACCATATGATTAGATAGTATTGCGAAACGAAAAATGTGGATCGCTACTCTTCTATGTATTTCATGTTCTGAATTTACTATCGTTAGTTTGCTTTGACCTATGCTTTTAGTCAGCGCAATGCTCATTCCTGCAGCTCATGTTAGGAGTGAGGCCTCACGTCATGGAGGGTTTATGACTCAGTCTTAACTTTGGAGATGGCGTTCATGTTTTAGTTCTAAACGCATTTTTACCTTCCGCTAAAGGCAACGAAAATCTTCATGCACTTACGAGTTTTCCGAACAACCAACAATCTCTCAGAATCGAACTGACAAGAACAGGACAAACAAAACCGACAGTTGTGCTCTATCACAAATTTCATGTTGGCTCCAAAGAGGAGAAGTACAAGCTGACCATCGACGAATACGAGGGTCCTGACGGTAGGTATCGGTTTTGCCGGCTTGCCTCTTTCAACATATCATCCTAAGAATGTGTGATTCCGTTTGTTAGTGCGCGCTTTGTCCGCTGTGAGCAGGACTTCTTCGGCTCTGCCGACAGGAAACCGAAAACTGGAAACGAGTCCAAACTGTGTGTTTTTGAAGGGCGGTAAAATCTGCGCGTGCTATCTAGCTCTTTAAGCGGGCTGATTTTGTGATTTCAGACGATGCTTAGCAATTCTCTAATTGAAGCAATGTTTAAAATTTGATAGTTTGAAATTTAATTACCTAAAAATAATTAGGAACCTGGTTATCACTGACGTTAATAATTATTTTGGGTGCACTCTTTAAAGAGACTAGTACGTCATCAAAATCTTCTGTGTGACACGTAGTTTCGCATGAACAATTTCGCCGTTGTTCCGTGAAGCACGCAGGCATATTCTACCTTTTATGAAATCGTAAAAAAAAATGTGCTATGACACAGGTGGCCAGAGTGACATGGGGATAGAGATGCAGACAACACTGCAAAAGTTCAGAGAGCTGCAAAAAAATAAAAAGAAACGGGGGCTATTTTTAACAGAAAATGATATCGAGGAAACAGTTCTTTCTAAAGGGGCCAATTATAATAGTCGACTACAACCAATAACACCAGGCAGCAGTACCTTCCTTCAACCCCGAAGCAATATTGAACCATGCAGTCATTTTTGCTTTACGGTTGCTAAAGCAACCAGCCGCTGCCCCCGACGCCCGTTGTTCGTATTCGAACTTTTTTTCTAGAACAATAAAAAAAACAAAAAAAAAAACAGGGTCGCTGGACATATATGCGTGTCAAAATGCAGTCCAACTGTATGTAGGTAGTGTAGTACAAGACTGGCAAGACAATGAGGTTTTCTTTTTTTTTTTTAATTGTAGAACTTTTTTTTGTTTTGTTTTCATGCGGGGACACATGAGGAGAAAAGGGGGGGGGGGGGGGAGGCACCAGGCTTACCAGGGAGCCGCGAGCCGCACTTGGACCCGCGTAGAGCCGGCTCGCGAGCCGCAGTTTGGGCACTCCTTTGCTATAATGTTAAGTCTTGGCTGTTGATTCCTTCCAGATTTTGTTTGCCTTTCAATTCAACTACAGACATTCATAGTGACTGGTACAGTGAAGCCCCAGTTCGATTCTGGACGTAGATTATTGACAGTTTAAGTGGTTTTTGACCTAGCCAGACTAAACGGCTTTTCGGAATATCCAGAGTTTAGTCTTCTCAGCATGCTATTTATTATCTCTCAATTTAGATTGGCTATTGAAAGACCAGCAAATGACGGTTGTGCAAAAGCCAACATTAAAATTTTCACGCTTTCTCCAGCAATGCGATGTCACATATAACTTGGAAGTCGAGCAGTCTAAAACGACACACTGCTTTAAGCGTTTTTTTTTTTTTTTCGTTTGCCGGCGTGAGTTTTTGCAGAATTCATTTAACATTACCGAACGGGAACATAATGTGCTGCCCCCATATAACAGCAATGGATGAATGGATGGATGGTAACGGTCGTATACCTTTGCAACAGGCGGTAGCCTGCTGCAACTAGCGTCATAATTTTCACGTCACGGTTTAAGTGTTGTCAGTGTTGCTATAGAGCCTTTCAGACCAAATTTTAAAATTTCGATACCTCTACAAACAATTAATGAGACTCGTAATTTAGACTACTAGTTCGGTCGTGTCAATTAATCTGTTGAACCAATTTTGAGGTAAAATTGGAAGCTTTGCCACTTTGGAAGCGAAGGAAAGCATTTTGCGTCCACTGGCGCAGTAAAACGTTTATACATGTTTGCCTTTAAGAGAACATATTTTATATTTGCCGCTTGTGAGCATATTGTAGTGCGAGAGCGGTCAATAACTTTGCTTGATTCCCGCCGGTTTTTGGCATGCACAGGTTACGACGCGTTGTCCTACCACAGCGGAGAGAAGTTCACCATCAAGAAGAGCATGACACAGACACCCGACAAAGACAAGTGCTCCGCAAGACTAAGTGGTGGCTGGTGGTTCAAGGAATGCAACGGGGCAAATCTTAATGGACGTAAATTCACCTACACTTCGCCAACAAAGGCTCTCGGTATTACTTGGCACATCAAAGGCCAAGAAGAATCCTACTATTATCCCTATGACAGTGTGGAGATGAAGATCAGGGACTACGACTATGGTTTCTGCACGGGCGCTTTTAAATCCAAACGCATCTAATTTCTAATTTCTGCTGCGGTGCAAAAAATAAAAACACGAAATTGCGCGGATGTCGTGATTTACTATACGCTCTGCGAATTTCTCGCTTCGTGACTTCTCTCTGCAAACTTTGGAAATAAAATATCACTGCTAGAGAAAACAGCTTGCATTGTCTTGGCTCTCCCGGCTACCGCCAACGTCTAACTCTAAACCGGCGGTCGCACTCTTTATACATCTTACAAAAGAGACCCTGCAGACACCGTCTGAGGCATTCCTTGTATATAAGGGTCCAGTCACACTGCTCATATAAAGACCCATTTTAGACATGTTAAAAGCATACATATGCACGAAGCACACACGCTTGAAACCTGATTGAGGCGTGAACGCAGTGAAATCATGTCTGCAGCCCGCGTCGGTTCTATGACGTATGAGCAGTGTGAGAGCGGCTTAAATTTCCCAAGTGCGCACCATTGGCTCCGACTTACTCGAAGCCAAATGAACATTGTTCCACAGTATGGAAACGAGAGATGTGTTTAGGCAGCAGCCTCTGGAGCCGTATGTGTCTGCGATGTGAAGGAACAACCTGGTCATTGCTGCACGACTTACGAGGCGTGGCTGTTAAACAACGCGTGGCTGAACACTCATTCTCCGCTCACGTGTAACCCTAGCGGTCCGAACCAACAGATGGACACGACAAGCGTCCCCTCATTTTACCTGCCCTTCGTCGCTTTTTTGCGCTGGTTCTCGTTAGTAATAAACTTCCGAAGGAGTTGTCGGGGAGTTCTGAAACGCTGACACCTGGTTCAAACCCGTTCATACCCCTAGCGCTACATCTGGGCGTAGAATAGTTCGTTTTCGTTCATAATTCGTTTTCGCGGTTATAAAAACGAGAAATGTGTGTGTGTGTGTGTGGAGGGGGGGGGGGGTGCACAACGATACGTAAAATGTTTTTTCGTTAGAAACAATGCTGGAACTCAAGTGTAGCCCTTCAGCAGCGTCGCCCTTTTCCTATTTTGTCTCGTTCATAGTTCTTGTCTTGCCATTTTTATTTTGGGCGATGCGGGACTATCTCATAGCATCGATTGTAGCTTTGTTTCACGACGTACTATAAAATTTCCGCCTCCTCCCATGTGATAATATTTTCCAGCGAGTCGATTTCTGCTGCGAGTTGTTCCATGAAATCAGAAACGTTTCCTCCCGACAGAACATGACGTTGCTAAAATTAGGTTAATTGGTCGCAAAGATCGGCGATTGATTGATTTATTCTGTTATCTACATCGCCCTTACCCGGGCATTATTGTAGGGCGAAGACAATACCAAAAGGCGAATAAAATATAAAACATACATCGAACATATGCGTATGATTCGAAAAAAGTTCATATGACATTAGGTATAAAAATAATGACATAATATAAAATTTGCGAAAAAACAACAAATCGGCAAGCACGCCAGCAAACAAATCCACAAATAGACAGTAAGCGAAGAAAAAAAGTTCGGCAGAAGCGAATACAAAAAAGAAAAAGCTGGCGAGGATACAGTTTTATCTGGTATGCTATGCCATTCGTTTACAGCATGGGGATATTACAATATTCGGTATAGGTTCAGGCGCTGTTGCATATTGATGCAGACAGCAACCTGGTTTTGGCAAAATATTAACTTCTTTGTCAACAGTGTGTAGGTCTATAAAACACGCGTTAGGTTGTTAATATTTTTTGCGCAGTGGAAGTCATAGAAAAAGTTCGATAAGAACGAGCCGTATTGCAGAAATAAGGGTTGTGGCGCAGGCTAACTGGTGAACGTTCATACTTAAGGAAAACCGAGACAAGGGAAAAGGAAGGGACAAAAACTCGGGGTTCTTTTAAGTATGGGCCGTATTTACCTTTTAAACTTGCGACCGAAAAAGTGGCTATGTGGTCTCGAGTCTATTCTGTGGTACCATAATCGTACCACAAAATGATCCCCTAAAAAGAAGGGGCTCACCAGTGCGCATGTGCCGAACCCAAACCACGTCTTGAATACGGAGCGTTCGCAGTGACTGGAGGCGCAGTCGAGTCACATCCGAGATAATATAGCAAGGGTGCAGGCGGAGCTGGTGAATGTTAACCATGTTGAATAAACCTGAGACTGGGCAGAAATGGAGATATAAGTCGAAGGAACAGAAAAGGGAGAGGACGACGTCAGCCACCACCAACTTAAAGGGGCAACCTCTAAGCAGTTCAAACGCCAAACCCTCCAATCAGCCACCATCAACAGTCCAAACGCGAACCCTCCAATACACAAGGTAGTACTATGGACGGCCTTCATGCCGATTCACAATGTTAACTCTACAATCTGCCCCAAATTCATTTCTGCCCCAGTCTCAGGTTTATTCAACATGGGTCACATCCGTTCCTAAGAAAGGCCACCACAAACAACACCTGTGTGATTATATCGCCCCCTCACTGTCCGACGCCTCCTAGATAACAAAGCGTCGTAGTGCCGAATGAGATGGCGTCATTGGAGAAGGTCAGCTCTGGTCACAGATTGGACACGACGATTGCGTTAACGTTCGGCTCAAACTTGACTCGAAGCCGAGCGCTGAGGAAGTACTCGTTTCCAATCCCAGCGTTGGGCTTCTCTTATTACGACATCTCATGTAGCACTGGTGTCTTGTTATGTAGGAGGTGTTGCACTATCAAGGCCCTTGCCTATAGGATGTCTACAACTATATTCATTTAACGCATCTCATATTGGGCTGGGTGAAGGTGCTGGGGTTCTCACAGACCCTCAAGACGGCATCCGCAGATATCGTCGATCGGATGACAACTCGTATACACTGACGCAGCACAGCTATATCGTGAGGGTGGAAAAACAAAATTTATTACGTTGCTTTTAAGACGTGGCGAAGTCGCACGACAGTGTCGATCATTCGTTGTAACGTGGGAGTCTCCAGCAGCTCGACATGCCAGCCTGGCTAAGCCCAATACTTCAGCGACTTCGTGACTGCAGGGTCTCACCCGCAGACATTCCGTTGCGCAGGGAACTCCCTCAGGGTTGCCTTTGTCTCCCGTTATCTAGTTGCTATATAGATTCGGCATGAATAAAGCATTGAAACAAACTCGTGTTGGCTTCACTTTACAGGATATTCAGCACGGGGATGGGATAAAACAGCGGCTCCCTTGGCTTGCTTACGGTGACGATCTTTTCCAGATGTTCGACAATTTGTCAGACATGAGGGTACTGCTGATCGCCTGTGAAGCAGAAGCCAAACGGCTCCAAATACAATTCAATGTCAGCAAACCGGCTGTAGTGCTCGTTTCCGGGCAAAGGGGACGCCTTGAGACACTTAACGCCCAGAACACTGCGCTCCCTGTTGGTATGAAATTCAAATAGCTTGAAGTGACGCTGTCTAAATCGGAAGATAATCTTCCAGAACACCACGAAAATTACAAGGAATTAGCACTAAGCAAGCAAAACTAGCCGCCTCGAAAATCAGTTGGAGTTGCGGCCGCTATTTGATCCCACGAGAGCTTTGTAAAGCTATTGCAGTAACTGGACTAACTTTCTATAATGTTTGTTTTGTGCCCCCGGCGAGATTCGCCATTCCCTCAAGCGACGACATTTAGAGACATGACGACAGGCGCTAGGATGTGATGGTAGTGTTTCCAATCAACTTATCCAGGGAGATGTTGAATGGTTCCTCTTTGAAGGGACTACTGCGGACCACAAGGCAGAACGCAAAGCGACGGCCTCCCGTAACGACTGGACCAAAAACACAGTGTTTACTGACGCAGGATGGGATGCCAGTACTCGAAGGGGCAAGCTGGCAGTGATCTCACCACTAGGCGAGAGCAGATGTATACATCAATATGACCCATGGCTCAGGCCAACTGGAACTGTCCGCGACACTGTGTGCGGTCCACAAGGTGCACGACGTGGCGCGTCAAGGCGGGAGAACGTGTGGTTGTGTACACCGAAAGCAGAGAGGCGATTAGGCGCCTTGAACACTCCCAGGATGGGCACACTTGCCCGCGACATCAAAACCATGAGTTCAATGCTCTTCAGACACCACGTTGTGGAGGTGAAGGTGGACTGGGCACCGGGACACGCGGGCGGCGTCGACAGCGATGCCATGCACGCGCTGGCGAGCAAGAAGGAGGACAACCACTCCGTCCCGGCGCTCCATGCCCTTCCCGCTCCCCACGATCCCGATCCGACCACCCGCATGTGCAGGCAAGCAAGAACGTAGACGTACCCTTAGGGAGTAAGTTCCGGCGAACGATCACCCGCTGCCGCCAAGCTTGTCAGGTGGAGCTCAGGTTATGATCCACAAGGCCCGCGCAGGGCCGCGCTAACAGAGGACAGCCAAATGGCGGACTTACCGGAAAGACTGGCATCGAACCGTCGCTACCTGTGCAGACTCAGACTCAGACGAAGAGGTTGAGCCCGCTGTATCGTGTTCGACGTCTACAATGGGAGCCAGCCCAACCGTCAAGCAAATGCTGTGGGACTGTCCTGGCTACTTGATTTCCCGGAAAGCAGCACCCCCCACGAAACGGTCGGACTTTCCTCGAGTGGACCACTCGAGGCAACAATGGCACCCGTGACACATTGCTCTCCCAGTGGAGGTTTGCGTGTGCCGCGGGCATCGACCGTCGTATGTGGTCTCCTCCACTGACCCCTCTCCCTCCCCCGCTTCCCCAATTAGGCCTAAGGGCCAGCCCTTTCCCATTAAAAATGTTTCATTCATTCTTTGAAGGAAATTATGGTAAGGCGCAAAAAACAACGCACACAAGAGAGAAATCAGACATGCAGGTGCCACTCACAACTACATTTGAAAAGTGCAGAAAGAAAGGAATACATATGTCGTCATCTTCATCACGTCCACGCATGCGCTTCCGAGGCTAAGTACTTTTTATGTTTCCTTCTCCTTTTAACTGTGCATGGAGTAGGGGCGGTAGTTTTTGTTAGCAGTAGGGTAAAATAATAGAATAACTTATCCATTTTTTTTGCGGGCACAGGAGTTTATTTAGGGGGCCACA